TCCGAGGAGGTGGAGTCCCTCCGGGGGAAGTGGAGGGCCGCCGGGGGGAGGTGACTCGATGTGGGCTTGCCGGCGGGCGGCGGTGGTCCCGTCGTCCTCGAGGAGGATGCCCTAGAAGAGAGAGCGCCTGGTACATGGCGGTGGTCTTCCACTCCGGGTCTTTTGTACACCCGGCAGAGTGAGATCTCCACCTGAAAATGTTTGAATCCTCTCCCATTTAGTATTCATGATGAAGAAAATCTCTCTCTCTCTCTCTCTCTCTCTCTCTCTCTCTTTATTTCTCTCAGGAGGTGGGAATGGGAGAGATGCACGCTCACCGCCAGAGGGAGATAGGAATAAGAGGCGCACGAATGCGTAGGAAGGGAGTGAGAGACACAGACAGCGGGAGGGAACCAGAGAGAGACGCACAAAGAGGGTGGGAGGAGAGTTTGAGATAGAGAGAGAGAGAGAGAGAGCCCTGATCTGTATGGGTGTGATACCAAAGCAGGACTTAGCATCAGATCACGAACTGTACGTCTCTTACACAAGCTAGAACGACAGCAATCCCCCAATAGATTGACTCAACTGAGATTAACACCCAATCCCACGCTATACAATCAAGATATCTAACCCCCACATGTGCAAATTAACCCTAACCCGCAAACCTCTAGGGGCTGTTGATAGAATTATCGAACGGAAAACCTCAGATCCAAATTTCCATCAAAATCTGTCCTTTTGGTTGTGATCCATCAGATGCTTGAAGCGCCCAGTTGATATAAACAGAAGATAAACAGAAACGGAGGGAAGAGCAGCGCAGTGACTATCTTCTGCGGCCGCATGAACTGGGAAAATTGACGAAGAATATAACCTTGAGATAGCGATCGGTCTCGTGGTGAGGAAGCCGATACTCATTCATGATCCAGCTCGTGCGAACGCCCTTGGGGGCCTTGCCGGAGTAGAATACGAGGGTCTTCTTCAGGCCGATGGGCCTGGAGCTCTCCGAGCGGATCATCCTGTCGGCGCCGGTGGCCTTCCAGTAGCCCGAGGTCGTCACCCGGTTTGGCCGGTCGCCGTTCCTGTATTTCCTGTCCCTAGGCACGTAGAAGAACCACTCCTTCTCCCCAATTGCCGCCATTGCTGACACCAAGTGAAGAAGAAGAGGATGACAACGAATTAGAAGGAGAAGATGGTGGAAAAGAGGAAGATGTACAAGAAGAACATGAAGGAGAAAAAGAGGAAGCAAATGAAGGGGAAGGAAGAACAAGATGAGGAAGAAGAAATATTAGCTCACAGAGGCGCCATCGATTCCGAAAGAAAACCAATTCCTCATACACACGTCACTGGTAAGCATTATAGGGGGAATTTGTGAAAACATTCTAGGTAGGATGAATGGAGAGAGAGCTAGAGAGAGAGAGAGAGAGAGAGAGAGAGAGAGAGAGAGAGAGAGAGAACCATGGAATCTGAAACCAACCTAGTTCTTAGATTACACGGAGGAATTATGTATATATTTCCATAAAATCTCATTGTAGAGAGAAAGAAGGAACACCGGAATCTGAAACTAACCTAATTCCTTAGAGACACACATGCACACAAGCTTTACAAGGATTTTTTTAGGAAAATATCGAGAGAGAGAGAGGGAGAGAGAGAGAGAGAGAGAGAGAGAGAGGGAGGGAGTGAGAGAGAAAGAGAGACAATTAGGGATTCTCATGTGTACCGGGTAGCTCCCAAGGATCATAGCGGTACAGATCGAGGAAGGTTATGAGCTCCACGTTGAAGGGCCTCCCCTCCACCTTCCGTCGGAGGTAAAACTCCACGAGCTCCTCCTCGGTGGGATGGAAGCGGAATCCGGGCATCACCACGTCGTGCTCGTGTCCATCCTCGTCCTCCACACGACTGTTCATGGCTGCTGCAATTGCCATTAACAGACTCGGTTCATCACGCCTAATCCCCAGACCTCTCTCCTCCACTCCTTTATATACACTCTCATCCGCCACAGCCCACCGTTAAAAATCCCTTCTTGTCAGAAAAAACCAGTGGGTTCCAGTTCCTCCGTAAAATTTCTGCTTCTTTCTGCAGGTGGACCTATCTATTTATCTCTCTATCTGCTTCTTCGGGTCGGTCCTGTTTGTACCCATCTTTCTCTAATCCAACTGTGGGGAGGATACAACGGGAGACGTGTGGGGACGGGGATAGAGACACACAAGTGGAGAGAAGGAGAGGGAAAGTCAGAGACAGAGATAGAGAGAGAGAGAGAGAGAGAGAGGCAAGGGAGGTTATCTCACCTTGCCTGTTCTCTTTCTTCTCTTCTTTTCCCCTTCCTCTTGTTCCCTCCGAGCTAGTGTGCATGGACACCCAGTAGAGAGAGAGAGAGAGAGAGAGAGAGAGAGAGAGAGAGAGAGAGAGAGAGATAAATGTCTCCATGTGCCCATTACGCGGACAAGCACGAACACGCATCTCTCTCTCTCTCTTCCCCCATCGATCCCTACACGCAGTGCCAAATGTGGACGGGATGTATCGGTAAGTTCCCTCCTCTCCGAACGTTTGGGGGTGAGTAGGTGGCATCTTTGATCCCGATGATTTCGTCCCAATATTTCCTTGGTCTTGAAACGTTTATTTTAAGACGAAATAGTGGCAACTTTTTCTCCAGAAAGCTTATTCATTCAATATAAATTTGGATATTTATTTTTCATAAACTTCAAATCCCAGTCAAGAAAATTAGATTTCTTTTTACGATAATCGTTTCTAAATATGGTTGCAAATTCAGCAGAATTTCCCGTTTTATTGTGAAAAAATATTCCCTCCACTTGTATCCGTATTAACTTAATGGGAAATCAATCACGTCACATCCTTCCAATCCTTTCGATCTTGATGTTTCTACCCCATACATTAATCTATCTCCCCACCTAAAAGGGCCAGATATCTTAATTTCCACACTAATTTATGTTGCGCCATCACCAACTAGTAGTATTATTGGTCAATTAATTTCCAAACTAATTTAAGCATAGAGCTTCAATAACACCAATGTTTGAGAAAATATATGAACACTAGTTAGGGTAGAACATGAACCCACACCACTTCAAGTTCAGATATTCTCTAAACATATGCGAAGTGCCCCCCCTCTCATAGAAACATGTAGTATCATTGGTCAATTAATACAGCTGATTGGACTCTTGCTGTCCATATTAGCTTGTAAAGAGTTGAAGAAATTCAGGGCGCCAGGGATGATTGTGAAGCATTAGATGTGAAAAATGATTTGTTTGGAAGTAAATATATCAAATTGGTAACTTAGGCTTGCATTTCAAAATGCCAAGAAATACGATAATCATATGCATTGAAGATAGAGAATTCATGACATAGCTATGAAGATACATGATGGTGTGTTATCCTATGACCATGAAATTATTGTGATGATTTCGTTTTGAGATATGACCAAATAATAACCTTCTTTATTCTTGCAATTTTCAACATTATGCCATTAAATTCCACAACTTTGGGCTAGTGCGAGTGCTTCTATATTTTTGAATGCTCATCGCTTTGAAATTCAATGCACTCTTGTTGATAGCTTAACCATGGCATGAATTAAGAGAAACAAGTCCTGATCCTTGGTCTCTACCACATTGACTGACTGTTCATGATGAATGAGACATTTTCACTGGATTGTATTTGTTGATCAATATTTGTCAGTATTATGAAAAGTAAATGCTGGTTTGAACATATTTTTACCCACATTGTTAAAATTTTGATCTAGTTGTGCCAATGGACGAGGCAATCTTCAAACCTAAATTGTTCTCCAACTTACACATTGATGTTGACCACGGTACTCCAATGGAGTTATGTCAAGTGGAGGATGGCAATAGGTTGAACAATACCACCCACTAGCTTTTGAAATTACAACGGATAAGTCTCTCTTTATTTGCTTGTGAGTTATGATACTTTCGCAACTAGTCTCTCTCTCTCTCTCCCGCTCTCTCTCTCGCTCTAAAATGTATAAGGAATCATAACCAGGTCATATTTTATGGATGATCAATGGCGCTGTAGGTGAGAAGCATACCTTGAGGCAAGATGAACCGCCTAACTTCGCAAGCCCTAAACGTAAGGGAAGTGGAGAGAGAGAAGACCTAGATCGTATCTTTGAATTTTTCTGGGAGATTCTATCGTCTTCTCATGAACCGGAGACGTGTCAGTGAAATAGCTCGTGAGTGGACCCCCTAAGGTGGGGACATGGTTGAGCTGTCCGTGGGACCGGCGAGTGCGGTGCGGTAGGTGAGCCGTTGCCATCCGGGGGGTGTGCCGCTCGTGGACTGAGTACCTGAGGGCCTGCGAGCCCTTGGTTTCATGTGACAACCTGCTCACTTAAACTGTGGGATCTCGCCTGCTGTAAGTATGCATGGAGAGAGAGAGAGAGAGAGAGAGAGAGAGAGAGAGAGAGAGAGAGAGAGAGAGAGAGAGAGAGGGTCTGATACTCCCACGTAGATTATTTCCCCATAAGATTGAACGGAAATGTGGAATTGGCCATGTCGGTAAGAGAGAGAGAGAGCGAGAGAGAGGAAGAGAATCGATGAACATCAGCTCACGTTGGTTATTTCTTCTAGAAGGTAAATATATGATTAAGCATGCCAGTTCAGAGAGAGAGAGAGAGAGCATCAGCTCCACAGATTCTTGAGTGAAAGCATCTGAGCTGATGATCTTATCGTGGAAAAGTACTGTTCATGGCCGGCCGGGCAGGGCTTCTCGTTAGGTTCCTCCGCCGAGGGGGGTTCACCAGAGGCCGAATTGCCATTGGCCGGCACCTTCCGGTTGGGGAGCCGAACACTCATTGGAGAAGTGGTTCCATCCGGTGGCGTCGCGGGCATGCATGCATGCAGTGCAGCGCAGCGGAGGCGACGGAATCAGACCACTACGGCGCTGGCGCTGCCGCATGATCTTGACCCGATGATCGCGATGGCCCAGACTCCGTACCCCTCAAATCTTTCTAGGGACTGGCGTGGCAGCCCAAGTCGACCCATCATGCACCGAGCCTCATTAAATGGACAAACCCCAGCCCTCAAACCTAACAAAGGGTCATCAGCTCTCTCTCTCCCTCTCCGCCCTGTCTACCTCAGCATACTAATTTATTCACGAAGATATACACATGCTGCATCTAAAACTACCTAGAAACTCATCGAAAAGTACGAATCATGATAAAAAATTTAATTTCCACATATATATTTATATCTATGACTAACCTTGAATTTCATAAAAACATAGGGACTACCTCTCGAGACGTGCTCCTTTCCCCTCCAGTTCCTATCCAGCAACGTTCATATCCTTTCTTAAATAATAAACGAGTATCAGCCACTCAATAGAAAACCTTACCTTTACCCATAATTGCCCTCCTATTAACTTCACAAGTGTCTACTGGTCATTTATAGTTATTACCCATTTCATGGTACTTTTGCCTTCGCAGGGGCCAAACTTTTTTACAAATAATTTTCAATAATGCATACTTTTTTATGACTAACATAAAAGTTTGAAACTAAACAAGTAGGCAAGAGCAAGGGTGGGTATACAACGTTGAGTTTAACATGGTGGGATAAGCTCCCAAGATTCTTTGCTAGTCTCCACTAAGGCATTTCACAAGTTGGCAAGATTCGTGGGAATGGATATATTAGAAAATTACTTCTATTTTTACTGCCTTGACAACTTTGGATATTGTGAAATTCCCATGGTAAAATGAGGGGAGCTCAAGGCATCCCTATCAGCATTAAATTTGGATAACCCATAACACTTGTAAGTTCTTGAGGAGCATTCAATTATCTTCAATGGCAGATCGTATGGAGTGACTCTTGCGTACACAATACGCAAATCACTGATTGCGTGTACACGTGTTTCTAACTTAGCCCCATTGAAGTTCTTTGATAATGATATTTCTATAATTTTGAAATATATGTTGTCATATACTTAGTAAAAGTGGTCATGAAGAGTGAAGATGCCTAACACTTCATGAGAGCTTTGATTTGAACTGAATTCCTCTTTAATATTTGAGGACTAACAGTCTATATGTTCATGGGAGATTTATTTTATATGAATGGCAAGTTTTAGGGTTTAAGAGCTAATATTCTAGGTTTAGTGTTTCGAGTGAATGTTAAAAGTTTTTTTTTAAAAGGCAAACTAGATCAATTGTCCAGTGCACCAACATGAATGATAAAGTTATCTACAAACAATAAAAAAAGTTTAATGATTCACTCACGCTCAGAGTGGCCCATCTCCACCGTCAACCCTTCATTTTACACACCTTCGTCCTTGGTGACAACTAGCTAGCTTGAAATCTTCACCCACATTCTCTCACTAGATTTTGAAATGTTTCCCTCCGTAAGGAAGCCAGCGTCTCCATCAATGGCGAGCAGTTCCAAGAACGCATCCATTATCTCTCTAGAAACACCAAATGTAGGAGATCAAACACTCCGAATCGTCTCCAAGACTGGCGCCGATGTCAAAACTAGGTCTGCCCATGAAGTCGCTCCCTTACCTGATTCCCTTCGGGGGCCTGCTTCATGGGCTATCCGTCAATAATCTCAGAGCTCCCATCAATGTCTCCAATAAAGCACGTTGATATACGATTCTTCGAGTCCTCAAGGCCAGGTAGATAGAGATTGCTGCGCCATGAATGAGCTCTCTGAAGACCCATGCACCGGCGACGGAGCCGCCCCCGCTTGCCGGACGTTAATTCCCGGCGGTTGGTCGCTCTGCATGCACCGCCGTGCTCTTACTCCGCTAACGTATCCGCATACAGAGAGATAGATAGATAGAGAGAGTGAGAGAGAGGGGGGGGGCGCAGGTGGCACTCCCGGAGGCTTTGGATTGAATACACCGTGTGTGTCCGCGGCACCGCCGAGCTCTTACTTCGTGCCGGTAGATGGAGAGGGTGAGAGAGAGAGAGAGAGAGAGAGAAAGAGGGGTTGAAGTGAATGCTGGGGGCGGTCCGGTCGGTGTGACAAGCCGACCAGATTAAATGGGGAGGAGGGGGGGTCCTCATGCGGCCAGGCTAATTAAGTCGCATCTTGACCGCATGATAAGATCCTTTGACCGAGCAGTATCCGGTTGACCCGCGCTCTTCAACAAACTCTGACCTGCAGAAAGGCTGGTGGAGGAACCCCGGAGGGGAGAAGGCCCGCCAACGGCCAGGACGATGAGTAATGATGGCGAGGTCCATGGGTGGGTGTGGTTTTTGGTCTTCAGAGATGTAGGAGTGTGTGTGAGAGAGAGAGGTAGAAAGAGAGAGAGAGAGAGAGGCTGAGGGGCAGCTGGAATCTCGTGATCCGGCGGTCCCCTGCGAGCTCTTCTCTCCCTTCTCAGTTGTGGGTTCTCCTGCTGTTTGCTCTGAGAGAGTGAGAGAGAGGAGATCTACGAAGTGGGTATGAGTAGAAAGGAAGCTGTTTTTTCTGCAATGAATGTGGGCGGTGAGGTGAGAGAGAATCCGTAGGAATGAACTGAATACAAGGGAATAAATGGACTGGGCAGGAGGATCCTGGGTCCCACAAC